AGATTTATGAGCGAGATTATCATCAATAATAAATATAAAAAAATAAATATATTATAATATACGCCGTAAATTGTGGCTCTACATGCTGTAAACCAATCAAGTTTTAATTTACTTCCTAAATGCAACATTGTTCTAATTCTGTTTTAATCTATGCGCGCTCCCTACTAGCTTCATGTTTCATTGCTTCATGTTTACTTCCTGTTTTAATACCTTTTTGTTACAACACTAAAAGTTAATGAATAAAAGTTGTAGTAACAAAGAGGAAAATAAAGTGAGAAATATATTTTGAGACGTTAAAAGAAAAGAGACTAAAGCATAAAATATATGACAAACAGGACTAATTGGAGCCGACAATGGCATGAGGTTTATTCAAACGTATGGTTTCGATAACGTGCACTTTGTGATCCGCCAAACATTTTCTCCCACCGGAAAATTATAACGCACACACAAACATCCTCGGACCACCATATGGACCATACTTCACTCCTCATCTAGAGAGCATCCTCAAACCGCGAAAACAATGTCCACGCCATCCAATGATCTTGGCGTAGGACCCGACATCGTTATCAAAAGACCTATGTCCTCGTGACCTCGTCACAAGAATATTGTTGGATGACTCCAACACACTGATGGAAGTGATGGACCGACCGTACATAGACATGGTCACAAAGACATGGCCACATGAGAGGGAACTCGGCCAAGGAGACTAGCTCGACAGCCTTGAGGTCGGTTATGATGGTCGACTATGGTGGCAATAGGTTGGCTGGGGAATGCAATTATAGTATGATGCAGTCGTACTAAAATCATACTCAAATTGTCTTTTATTGTCATGCATAGAAAATTTAATTTGATAAAAAGGCATATTTGAAATTTTAAGAAGCCTCAATAAGTACGGAGTATTTGATAATTTAACCAAACCTGAGAGGAGCAAATGTAATTAGCCCTTTATATTAAATGGAAAAGCTGTAAATGAAGAGGGGCAGCATTAGCACTATTACCATTTTGACTTCAACTCCTATGCCATACATCCCATACCTAAGCATAATTCAAACATGCAATTATTCAATTCCCATATATAGTGATTCTTATATCCTAAATCATTCTCTTGGACTCCTAGAAACCTTGAAAGCACTGTAAAGTAAGTGATCAGTATCGGTATTCAAACCAAGTGAGTGATAAAGTGATTCAAACACCCAATCGAGTCAATGTTTTTACACACATCGCAGTTCTACAAACTCCAAAAAGTGAGGGAAAGCCCATGATCTTGCAGAACACTGTAAATTAAATCCGGCTAGAATAAAAGAAAGTACATTCAAGATTCCAGATGTGTACCTGACAGATGCATTCGGAATGCTCAAATCTCACCAAGATATATCTGTTTATCACTACTACATGAACCAATAATAGGTTCAGATGGATGAAAAACACATTCATTCACAGCTCCATTGTGCCCTGGGAGTTTATACAAAATCCGCCTTGAAGTTGTATCCCATATGTAAACCATGCGATCAGAACTGCCAGCTGTAACTCTGCTTCCATCGGGTGACCAGCCACACTTCAGCAAATTCTTTTCAAAGTTGTGTTGGTGCCCTTCGAGAATTTTAACGCACCGATTCTGGGGAGCATAAGGCCGCATGTCCCAAATACGGAGACTGCAGTCCATGGAATTGGTCAGAAGATAAGAGCCGTCAGGACTCAGTGACATACCTGTTATAGTGTCATGATGTCCTTGAAGCGTCATAGTGACCTCACTCCTACGAATATCCCATACTTTCACATCGTTATCAATGCCACCTGTGTATATCTTATCAGAGGCATCCGAGAAACTCACTGCAGTTATTTGATATTTGTCTGGAAATGTTTGTATGGCCCCTCTTTGGCGCATATCCCAAAGTTTGGCAGTTCCGTCATCTGAGCCACTCACAATGAGAGGTGGACCCCTTCGAGCGGGACAGCATGAGTTAACGAAAGACGAATGTTCCACCATTTTCTTAATCTGTTTTCCAGTTTCAACATCCCAAGCTCTTAGTGTCTTATCCGGACTAGCAGATATTATGACTGACCCATCGGTCATCCACTGGACATCCAGGACAGCATTCTTGTGCCCTTTTAAGACCATGAAGTTTTTGCAATCACCATAAACGTTCCAGAGAAAGATTTCTTTGTCGTGCGAGCCAGATGCAATCACAGTTCCTGCAGGATTGAACTTCATTGTATAAACGGAACTTTGATGACCAGTCAGCAACATGATTGGAGATTCCAAGCCTGATGTTCGCTGTTTCCCATTTGGCCCGGGTGCTTGGGGTCCACCGAAAGGACTAGACACTTCAGAAGGCCTTGGGCCAATTACAGACAGAGCACTTTCAACTTGCATTTTGTTTTTCTACCCAACCTTTGATGCTGAATGAGTGGATCCAGGCAGATGAACTTGAAATAGCATGCATAACAGGAGGAAACAAATTAATAGATTGGAAGTGTACAGATAAAGAGACCTTGTACAAGAAATTAGCTAATGTATATAAAACCTCAAGAGAATAAAATGGCTAGTTAGCCCTGGGTTAGTGAATGTCACCTCCACTGTTCAAACTAGTTATATTGTAACACTCCTAATGCTTGTTAGAAACAAAACATTCACTAAGCAAACAAGAAAGATGAAGTTCCATGGAGAGACAATAAAACTAGTACGAAACACTCATCAATTTCTCCATTATTTTTCTATAGCTTGTTTTAGCTCTCACATATTCTATAATGGCACCCACCCCTAGTCTTCATTCAATGAGACCATGCAAGTTTCCCCTCCTATGCAGGTTCAATTCCAGATTTTACCCCCAGGAAAAACAACAAAAGCTAATCATGGACCAAATATTGCTTTTCATTTTATCTGAAAAGGCATAGACCCAATTCAATTAGCAATTTATAGTTATACTTTTGTAAGCAATATAATGCAAAGGGACAGAAAAGATCAATTGGCCGTGTCAAATCGTAATGGAGTTTTAAAAAGTTTAAACGAGGTTTGATTTCCCCATCTAATTGACACGAACACAGACAAAATCCTTAGACCCTAATCACCTTATCAGGAATCAAGTATTCTTAGGGTAAGAAAATGCAAGCAGAGATCTGAAGTATCAAATTAAGAGACAAGGACAGCGCAAACCTTGCGACAAATCGCGAGTAGCTGATAAGAACTCAACTCAAAACTCCGCACCTTGCTCTTAACGCAAAAGGAAGACGAGAGGTTGAGCCGCGAATGAGCTTAGCTCATAACTCTACCTGGCGGAGCAAGGGCGGCGCGGAGCAGCTGTGAGGAGGTACGCGGTGGTCAATGCACAGATCTACTACGGCGGCGCTTGCTTCCAGATCGTTATAGAATTAGGGTTACTAGAGTGGGTTCGGAAACAGCGGTTCGGTTTTAAGTACGGTTCAATTACGGTTTAGGATCAAAAGTATGTTGAGAGATTCGGTTTTAAATCATTCTTTATTTGGGTAATTTACCTAAATAGTACTAAAAAATAGTAATTTTTTTAATGTAGTACCATATATTTTTCTTTTTTAATGTAATATCATTGTTCAATGTCTACAGGTCACTGTTCTAGTAAATGTCCAACTCCAATAGACATTGTTCTAGTAAATTTCCCCGACATTGTTCCAGTAATGCTCTTTTAACAAAGTAAATCAATTTTACTCCCTCCGTCCATTTTTAATCTTCGGACTTTGACCGGGCACGCATATTAATCAATGATAAAAATTACTTTGACTTTCCACTTATACCCCCTATTCTTCTCCGTCTCTCCCTGCCTCCAATCGTCGTCGAGTCCAGCACCACCGTAGTCCGCGTCTGACCTCCTTGGCTCCTATTGCTACCATCCTCTCGTTGAAGCAAATCTGGGAATGATGAATATCTTCTTCATGTTCTTGTTGAGGGCAACACAGTGGCGGAAGAGAAGACCTGAGCTTTTGACGGTGGCAGAAGAAATTAAAGGCGCCGCTGCTAGCAGAGATGCATCTGATTACGGATTCGTTCAAATCGAAAACGGGCAATTGAAAATTGATTACAACCAATTGCCATTTCAGGGATAGATTTGTTTAAATTATCATGGATTATACGCATCCATCGAGTAGATGATGCGGAGGATGAGCAGATCTGTAAAATCGGAGGATGAGCAGATCTGTAAAATTGAAAAAGGTGGATGGAAAGATCTGGGCATTTACTTACTGTGCGAAAATGAATCATATAATGACTATATTAAGAAGAAAATAGTGAAAGAAGAAGAAGAAGAAGAAGAAGAAGAAGAATAAGAAGAAGAATGAGGGACTGTTTGTTTCAGCCTCTTAATGGTTCAGATGTCTGAATGATTCAGCACTTAATGGTTCAGACTGTTTGTTTCAGCCTCTTAATGGTTCAGATGTCTGAATGGTTAAGAGATTTGCCTCTGAATGGTTAAGTATTATACAGAGTCTGAATGGTTAAGAGCTGTTATCTGAATTGATCAGACATTTGTCTCTGAATAGTTAAGCAATATACTAGTTCTTAATGGTTCAGACCTCTTACTGGTTCAGTACTTAATGATTCAGACCTCATACTGGTTCAGCACTTACCCATTCAGAAGTTGTCAAACAGCCCCTGAAAGAAGAAAAAAAAAGGAAAGGAAAAAGTGGGTCGGGGGGAGAAAAGAGAGGAAGAAGGAAGAGGGGAGGAAGAAGAAAAGAGGGAGGAAGATGAGGTAAAGGATAAGAAAGGTACGAAAGGAGTATTAAAGTGGGTAAGGGGTATTAAAGGCATTTCACTTATGATTCTTTGCCTAATTTAGAAACATGAACATTATTTATGGACAGACCAAAAAGGAAAGTACGAACATTAAAAATGGACGGAGGGAGTATGTAAAAAACAACAAAATAACTATTAAATCTAGCAACTAAATTTTACAAATAAAACAAAAAGTAACTTTTTAAAAAATAAATCAATTTTTAAAAATTATAAGTGCACAAGATTTCATCTAAAATAATGTCAAAGAATTTTACTCCAATTTTACCCATACTTGGTCTGCTAATAAATTAAGGACTTGAGTAGCCTTCTACACCAAAAGAAAAGGTAAGGGAAGTCTTGGGGTACATTATATAACTGTTGCTTTTTATATACCAAAACCAGAGTTCCCTTTACAAACGAATAATATATTATGCTTCTGGGAGATCCACACTTCCATTGGGAGAAGCCATTGTTGCAGAGGATGGATCTTCCTATGGTTGGGACTCGTGCTTGGCAGCAGCTTGCAACACCCTGCTATGCACATCGCTTGAACATGGCGGTAAAGTGGGCAGCCCATTGCCACTCCTGTCAAACTTCCCGATTGCCCAAGAAATCGCCCGTCCTCCCAATCTAAATGGGCCCAGCAGCAGCCTGAACAAGATATAATATGGTCGTAAAAAAGAAAAATACTACTTTAACATTAGGGATGACATTTGTGGTGTGAAAATCACTGTTTGTGAAACCACCGGCGATGTCATTTGTGGTGTGACTGTAGCATGACCCTAAAACAAGTGTAGATCCTACCGAATGAAGAAGAGTGCAATGTGGTCAAAACAGTTGATGAAATTCATCATGGCAATTTGCATTACCTAACATCCTGTATAATATCTTCTGAATCCTCGTAGGACGAAAGTCGCAGATATATAGTCTGTTTGATAGCAACCAAAAAAAATTGTAAGAGAGCAACAAGAACACAGAAAAGGGGGATGAATTTCTAAAAGAAGATATTCACCAGAAGAAGACCAAGGAAACCAATCAGTTGCAGTGTCTTCTCCCACTCTGCAACAAAACAATACCCATTTGGTCAAGACACTTGTTGGTTTAATGCTATAGCTTTTACCAGTGTTGTCATTTTTTCCTGGTATATCACTTCAATGGACAATAGCTGCCATGGTCCATGCACGACAATTGACAATGAATACTCACCGAGTAACGCATACACAAGTGCTATAAAACCCTGAAAAAGAGAGAATTATTTCAATAAGGAGAAAAAAAGTGCACAACTACGAAAAAGAAGCCCTTAATACCGTTCCAAATCCAAGAAGTTTCAATGGGGTTGGGTTGATTTCCTCAATGATTGCCTCAACTTCCTGTCGACAGTGTCAAATGGATCAACTTTTGTATTAAAAAATGAAATTTGAAGAATTACATCCAACTGATCCCATGCATGGTTTTTAAGAAATTTGTCTATAAAAATGAAATTTCCCAGAAAACCCTAAGAACTGGAGTCATATACCTCATTGATGATGCTAAGAGCTGTCTCAGGCTTTAGTTCTTTAATACGAAGACCCTCGTTTATCCATGAGCGAAACCCACCTTGCATCACGTATGGCCTCTGTCATGTAAAATCATGTCAAACTTCAAAACATCAAACTGTCTTGTGGAGAATTTCATAAAACCCCTATTGAAAAAGAAAAACGAATTCTCTAATTCAGAATTATTCCTTCCCCAGGTAAGTAAATGCAACCAAGCAATCAAGATTCTGGTTCCTTTATCAATGTTCAACTAGTCTTATTGATTAATGCCGCTAGTCACAGAAAATTGACAATGCTATTTGTCACCAATATACATAAAAGATTATCTAGCAAATACAACATTATTACTTGCTTCTCATAACAAAAACAGATAGGGGAGGTGGGGGCGTGGGGATTCAAATTGCACTTAACCTTGAGTCCAAGCTTCCTCAATGAACGTGCAATGCCCTTGGAACGTGCACCATCATCATCCATAACTATAACCATGGTCTCATCCTGTTAATATAGAATGGCGGCCAATATAAAGAGTGACCACATATCAAGCGGGACAAGAGGTAAGGATCTCTACTACCAATCCTCTGGCATTCATATTGAGTTATTGACCAACTATATACTTTAAGGGACCACTTGGTAATGGTTATCTCACTGAAATTTCTAATAGAAAAAACGTTTGGCAACAGTCATTTCAATCAAATAACTAGGTGAAATGCTAGTTATGCTTCTTATAAAACTGGCTACTAAATGGAGTGAAAATGTTTTTTTTTTGCATGATTAATTGGCATTCCACTGCCTGGTTTTCTCTACATTAGTTTATGGAGAATAAAATTACAATGTGCCCTTTACGATTTAGAGCATTGGCATAATTGCTCCGTCAATCCGTGATATATGCGAACTGAAATATTTAATCTGATAGGTCAGTTGTATAAGTGAGCAGTATTTTAGCTACATTTACTAAGATGATGAGGTAGACAGTGAGTTAAGCAATGATGTCAATCGTGCTGCACGGAACCTTAGAACAAAAGATGTCAACAACCCTTACAACCTGCCTTTGAATGAGAATCCTAGTGCAGTATTGGTGAATCCACCACTGATTGGTGTAAATTACCAATTTTGTTTAAGGCACTTACAGTAAAGAACAAGGTATGCCTTGGGGGACAGTGACTGATCAGAGCTACAATGTTTGGCATCGGTGTAAAAAGATGGACTGCTCATAGATTGTGAGGGTCGCATCACCTCACATTGCACAGAGTATCGTATGGACCAACTTGGCATCGGACAAGTGGGGAGATCTAAATGAGAGGTTTGACCAATGTGACTGCAATAGAGTTTCAGATCTACTTGAGGAAATATATTCATTAGAACAAGGTATGAACTTTTTTTAAAACTACTTCACCAAGCTAAAAATGTTACGGGAAGAGCTTTGAATATCATACCAAATCCTACATATATGTTAGTTCTCTAATAAAAGTTCCCTTGATTGAAATTTTAAAAAGGTTAAGAACTCAGAAGTCAGACCTATCTGGGGGGGAGTAGAGGGTAGGGGCAAATTAAAAGGAACATGTCATAAGTTTCTACATGGAAACAGCATGACAAGTAAAAACATAACACATTACTTTAACAATCTTCAAGTCACGAATGATAGCAGCAAGCAGGGTGATTTCAAGGTCTCTCCAACTCTTTAATAACTTCTTTAGTGATTCATCAACCTGGAAGTTTTATTTATTTAAAAAGAAAGTCAACATGATAAAACTTATCGGGATCAACAAGTGGCAATCCCTATGACAGTGTTGGGCGTAGGCCTACTTCGGGTAGTGAGATGCTGGCATACCGAAACCGAGCAGCTCGTCTAAGGTCAGGAATTCCATCTCTTTTTCTGAGCCTCTGAGGTCCTTCAAAAAAATTAAAGGCGATAAAAAAGAATGCATAAAAATTACTACCAGTATAAGATAATATACTCTTTTCCTGTCTCAAAATGTGAAATCTTATTACAAATTTTCACAAATTAAATTTGATTTTAAAAGTGCCCTAAACAAACGAGACAATAAGATAAGCTCAAATGAGGTTCCAACTTCCAACCCAAACCAATTGGCATTGGGAAGAGTAACTCACAAACATATATGAGTAAATTATATGAGGAGAGATCCTTTTCGTGCCTCAAACTATCTAATGTTATTACGTTTTTCACAAACAATTTTCACAAGAAATTTGCAAGTAAGAATAGGAGAGAAAATTTTACAATCTCTTGCCTCGGGCCGGACATCAATAAGTACAGCATTCTCTTTTCCTACTAAAAGCTGAAATGAAGACTTGGGAGATAAATCTCCAGCATATCCTCCATGTTTTAGTACCAAATATGTTCCCCTACATGAACGATATGATTACTATAATTGCTAGGGAAAAAAATCAATGAATGTAATTGTTAGAGAAAAAGATCTTTCAAATATGAAAAGAAAAAGCATCCCATGATGCTGGAAATTAAAGGAAAAAGAAAAAACTATTAGCAACGAGAGGGCATACCATAAAGTGGTTGACGCTCCAAGGAAAAGCACAACGGGGACAATTGGATCATCGGGGTCCAAGCCAATAATAGTTTCCAAAGACTCCAAAAAAACATAAGCCTGCAATCTTATTATTAGCTTTCCCATAATAGGTGGATGATTAGAGATTCTGCTTGGCACTCTGAAAATAATATGGATAGAAAATACAGAAGAGTAAAGGAAACTTGAAAGGAGAGATAATTTGTAATAAAAAAAACAAAATATAGGCTCAAACCAAGTTCTTTTACTTGAGATATGTGTTCAATCTTGTTTTACGGAGTATTTTTTAAATTTATGTTTTCCTTTTCCCAATTGTTTGACAGAATCCAAACATACCCTTACATTCCTGTTTGGAACCTGAAAAATAGCAAGAAAATAGGGAAGGAATATGGGGAAATTTTTTATAGAAAGAAAATGTGAAGGATAATAAAAAATAGGTTCAGAGTCAAAGGATCCATGGATATCTGTTAAAATTGCTTCATTTCTATTCTTCTATTATATTAAGATTAAAAAATCTAAAAACATGTAAAAAAATAAAAACATCAGTCAAATTTTATTTCTTTAATTTACCAAGGCAAAACCAAATATTAAGGGTCAGCCCGAGTGTGTGTTGTGCCACAGGATTTCTGCCTAGCAGGGTGTGGGGAAGGGGGAGGAGGCACCAATGCACCATATATGTATGCAGCCTTCTCCTAACATTTTTTCCCAAGAGTGGAGGGTTTCCATGGGACAAAAACCAGGCATCGTAAAACCATTTCCCTTAGTACCTTTTTGTACCAACTGTATGTTCTAAATAACGGGTTGTGTTTTAAATAATTGATTATGTCTACAGAACTGGGTTGTTTAATAAACTCTAAATAGGATCATACTAGGTTTGTTGGTGCTTGTTTGTTAAATTAGGATGCAATGGGCTAATTGCTTCTTAAAAACATAGAAGTTAAAATTATGCAAACTGTATGGCAGCTTACAAAAAGTAAAAGATTACTATACCTGATGAAAAGCCATACCAACCGGACTAAAAAATATGTGCATCTTCTGTTCTGAAAAAGTGAGGAAATGCTGTAATTCTAAGGGAAGCAAGTCCTTCACTAACCCATAAACATACACAATTGATGTGGCCGCTTTAGATAAAGCATCCTCAGAAACAACAATTGTACGCCTGAACATATCAATAGCAACAATCCCCAAATTGCTTGTGGCATCCTTTAAAACACCAGAGAAACCAGATAATCCATCCTTAGCTAATTCACCAGTTTTGTCCAATGTTAATGACATCTCACGAAAAGCATCATCAACTCTCTCAAAACCACCTTTGATAGCAGAATTCACCGGCTGTATAATTGTATCCAATGAATTGTTCAACGATGTTTGTGCGTTCTCCACATATTTCAGATTCCTTGGACCAGCATGCTGATAATCACCCACGGTTACTCCACTAGAATTGATAGTATTGCTTAATCCATTCTGGTGATATGAAGTTTTGACGGCATTTGGGGGACCCAATCTGCTGCATTTTTCTGCAAAACTCAAGCTCGGAAATGCGGAGAGGTGTCCTTTGTGGAAGGATGAACTTCGAAGTTGAAATCCATAGGACCAATCACAAGTCTTCCAAATGGCAGAAATCTGCAGAATCAAACACTACACTCATACATACTCATATATATATATATATCTGAAAAAATGAGCTAAGGAATGTGGAAGTCCATATCATATCCTGTGCAAAGATTCGTATGCTATTGGGATAGGATTTGCACACATGTATTCATAATGGCCTGTTTGGATAGTTGCATTTCATCTGTAAATCTGAAATTAACCTAATTCCCTTGTTTGGCAAGCTGTGGAATTTGGAATTGGGCCAAACCCAAATTGATACATTGTGATCAAGAAAACAGAGAAATTGTAGTTTTTTTTTTAAAAAAAAGAAGAAGATGAAATTGGAACTTGTAAATATGGCTAAGCATGAAAAGAAGAAGTGATCAAGAAACTAACAAGAGCGTTGATCGTTTGAATAACCTGGGAGTGGGACTGGAAAGAGGAACAAGCGGTTGAAGAACAGAGGAGAAACATTTCAAAGCAATTCTTCAAATGAGCAGCACTTGGGAATTGAATGCTACTGCTCTGCACAAGAATCCATCGTCTCCAACGGGACTATTGAAAATTGAAATGGGTGTTTTCTGATTGGGATGTTATTGAGAGTTCAGAAATGTGGTCGACTAGAGAGAGTGTGACGTAGCCTCAATCTTCAAGCCAATCGAGCCCCATCCATACATCCACTCCATTTACATAATCTTATCTAAGTCTCAAATCTGATTTGATCTGATTTTTTATAGTTCTAATCTGATCTGATTTGATTGGATATAATTAGATCTCATTTTAATAAGATTAAGAAAAAAATACTGATCAGATATAAAGAGGGAGTAATAGAGTAGTTTTTAAGGAGTATTATTTTTGTGCTCACCTTAAATATGAGAATTATACCGTAGTACATGTTTCTTGTCCCCAAAAATACTGATCAGATATAAAGATTTCATAATCCCTCTTTGGTACAAATGTTTTTTATGTAATGTCCAAACATTTTAGGGTGGTCCGTAAAAAAGTCCAAAACCACACATCCATGAAATTCCCGAAGACCATTCATTTTACATCCTCCATATCACAGAAGAATAGACAATACATAATCCCATATTTGCCTCTTCTTGTAACAGTCTGAGATATTTTTAAATTAAAAAAACGAAAAAAACTGGATGGGAAAGAGACAGAGAACACCACTAATGTCACGCACACCATCATCTTATAATGGTACAGAAGATTGAGTTGAACCCATAAATGGGGAGGAAGAAGAAGAAGAAGAAGGAAAGGTCTTCTGCCAGATCCACTGTTGCAGAAGTAGCTTAAAATAAGTTCATCTCTCATGGGAAAGAAAGTATCATCAGCTTTTGACGCTCCCGAAGAATCTAGACAGCGGCAGAGGCCCTCCGGTCTCTTCCTCTTCAGCATTGCGATCTTTTGATCTCGACCGTCGTTTCTTTTCTTTCTTTTTCCTCTTTGACTTCGATTTGCTTTTCCTCGAGTCCCTCTCTTCATCATCACTACTGCTTGAACTTGATTCTGATGAAGAACTTGAAGAACTGTAGTCGGATGATCTCTTATATCTCTGGATTAGGGAGCAAATGTCAGAAAAGTTGAGAGACATGTGATGAATGATGATCATTAACAGTCAAATTTCATAACAAAAACAGAACATCAACACCTTAATCCATATTATGTTGTAGCGGGTGGCATGAAATTCTGTGTCCATACTAAAACACACACATGTAGTCGCAGATTCCAAAATTGTCATTAATCATGGGAACCTATAATGATGACTAACGATAATTGCAGAACACTAAGATGATAAAGACATGGCAACAGATGACTATAACAGAAATATAACTATGCAAACATTAAGTATTAGGGATTTATTTAAAGCTCTTTTGGGAAGGGTGAATTTCGCTGGAGAACTATATGTTCAAATTATACTTTTTGACAAGAAAAAGTTGAAAAACTATGTGAAAATGATCATATGTAGCAACTTCAGCCATAAAAAGTACTTCTAGCCCTACTTTTTTTCATTACTATTCAATTCAATGTGCACTCATATGATTAGTGTTTGGTATAATATATCAGGTGGATAAGATGAAGAACATGGCTACCAAAGAACCACTAAGACTAAGTTGAAGAGCATCATTTATTTTGGGAATCCACAGCAGTATTATTCTTATCAAGCTCATTATGTAGCAGAAAAAATACCATCAAGAACATACAAGAAAAATAGCTGGTGACCCGTGTCTAACAGAGAGCAACATAATCTAAAAGTTGATGCATTGATCCTAAAGTATGCACTCATACTTGTTCAATTACATAATGTGAGTGTTTTATCTACTTTCAAGACTATGATTGTGTTATCACTTGGCTATAATGTGAGTGACTAAATCAATACTAATGTGCAGGGGGGCTGGGGTGGGGGTGGGGGCGGGGTGAAATTGATGGGTCCGGGGGGTTTAGGGAGTGGGTTAGTGGGGGTAGGAACCATCAATTTTACGAACGTAGCACCGTTCGTGCCCCAAGACTACCAGTGTCACGTACTGGTGTCATTTTGTGTGTGTGTGTGTGTGTGTGTGTGTGTGTGTGTGTGTATAAAAGCAAAAAAGAGTTATACCACAGTGTGTGTATTTGTGTCTATTTCTAGTAGCCACTATTTACTTCTCACTTCTTTTTAGAACAAACATTTCCATCATCTCCGATGGAGCCAAAGATTCATTATTTTTTGGCTTTGGGTGTGATGGAATAAAGCAAAATAGATCCCTAAACTATCAGAGCTTCTTTGATA